TGGTAGGACCTAGAGGCCCCAATCAATTATCAGGGCTTCGTTCTGCTAGGTACTATATACACGTTGTGAAAAGAGAGGCCCTCCCCCAGAGCCTTTTGCAGAATAGAGCTATATGAACAAGGTTCATATATACCGAACATTCAGCTGTCTTGCAAGCAATAAGGAAGGGAGGTAAGATGCTTGTGTTTTTCTTTAGTGACAAAGTATCCCGTGTGCTGAAGATTTGTTTTCTGCTGAACACCAAAACTCTAGCATTCAACCATTACTCAGTCCAGCCACTCTGTGGTTTTTTTGTTTGTTTGTTTTTGTTTTTTGTCATCCCAATTTAGTTGGTCTCAGATTTGAGATGATTCCTTATCGTTTTTGTCAGTTTCGTGGACAGCAATTACTTGAAAGGCTCTTCTCCCTGCTGAGACGGTATTGACTAGTGGTTGTACGCGCTCTGTGTTCAGCATACACTGACTGAAAGCAGTAGCAGGCTTTCCTAGGATCTAACTAATGGTTGAGTTACTATTCTTCATCCCCACTATTGTTAATTTTTAGTTCCTAGAGGTCCCAACTGAGATCGCGGCTCTATTGTTCTAGGCAGGTATAAACACCCAGCAAGACACGTGCCCTGTCATGAAGATCTTGAGTCTAAACAGATAGCAGGAGTGGGAAAGGAGGCACAGAGAGCAGAAGTAATTTGCCCATAGTCAGAGACTAGAACAGAACCTGCATGTCCTGAGTCGCAGTCCATTGTTTTATCCACTGGACCAGGCTGCTTCTCTGGTCACCGAGATCTTCCACGACCAGACGTTCCCTGAACTCGCTCAGTTTATGTTGTCTTGCAAGTTGTCTCTTTACAACTTATTTGCAATGGTGACCACCCTGAAGAAAATTTTAAAGCTTCTGCTTAGATGTACACTGAGTTGAAAGATATTCAAATAGAGAGAACTGTTAACTTGCTATGAGCTGTAACACCCATTTTGAATCAATGGAGTAGCGGTCACATGATGATGATGATGAAGGTTATTATATTTTTTTAATGTGATCTAGTCCTACATCTTTTAGCAGCAAAGCGACAAGTTACCCATATGACCCTGGCTGCTTCATCTGCAATAGCGTTTGATGCCCATGTGGTGAAGATAAGGATATTACTTGATTTCTGTCTTTTTCATTTTTTAAAATATTCTTTCCTTTCTCTTTTCTAGATTATAGATCCATTTGTAGAGGTAGAGATCATAGGGTTACCAGTGGACTGCTACAAAGAGCAAACTAGAGTAGTTGATGACAATGGTAAGACCGTGGTTTGGTTTTGTTTTTTGTTTCCCCCTTGCCATCTAGTACACATTTGGACGTGAAGTTCGAAGGGTCATTTTGTCACATGGAGGCAAAATCGGCCAAACTTGAGACCCATTGCAGCAAAGCATTTAGTACAGCTTAAGTGTTGTTAACGTCAATGACGATTACGCGTGTTCCTATGTATTTTGCTGAATCGGGGCCTAGGTAAGGGAGTGTTGTGTAATTACCATTTTGGTGCAATGAGATCAGACACCCAGATCAATCTGTTTATCTATATCACACTCCTCTTCATTAGAGAAGGGTAGTGGTCAGGACAGGAGACTGGAAGCCAGCAACTTTTCAGGTCTATCACTCCTTGTTCTGCCACTCAGTAGACCTTCGGAGAAGATAAAAATGTTTGCGAGACATGAAAATCCTGTGTTTCTTACACCGTTGCAGCTCCCACTGATAGGAGTGGGAGTTCCAGATGTGCAAGGAATACTGAACCAAAGCCTCTATGGTCGATTAGAGGGACCATTACTGTGTAGGAATTGATGTATCTTCAGAACAACATAGCAAGGACTAAATGGTTTCTGGCCCATAGCTGGGGCTGCTTGGTGCCACTGCAATGTAAATAACAAAAGCTGATTCTCCAATTCCCAGGTTTCAATCCAATGTGGGAGGAGACTCTGGTGTTCACAGTGCACATGCCAGAGATTGCGCTGGTTCGCTTTCTGGTGTGGGATCATGATCCAATTGGGCGGGATTTCATTGGACAGAGGACGTTAGCTTTTACCAGCATGATGCCAGGTAAGGCCGTGCTCTCTGTCTCGATGACATACAGGATCGATTGGCTGAGGCCTTGTTCTATAAAACTCCTTTATTGTGACAAGTAAAATATCTCCCAGGGTAGCTTTGCCACGTGTGCACACAAATGTGCATCTGCCCTGGGGAGTTGTTGTGAGCCGGTGGCTAGAGCAGGAGACTGGGTAGTCAGGACTCCTGGGTTCTGTACCTACATCTACCACTAATTCATCGTGTGACCATGACCAAGTCACATAACCTCCTCCTCGGGCCCGATTTTCAAAGGTGCTCAGTGGCCAGAAGTTCTCATTGAGAACAAATTCTAGCTACTGATTTAGGCACTTGTATGGACACTGGTGTGGAGCTCGTTTGAAAATATGGTCCCTTGTGCTTCCGTTTTCCCACTTGTAAAACGGGGATGCTAATCCTTGCCTCTATCACAGGCATGTTATGCAGCTTAATTAATGAATGTCTTACGCTGCTCAGGTTTAAAAGTGCTCTTGGGTAGAAGTGCGGAGGATTAGGAGGGACCTGAGAAAGCACTATCTAGCTAAGCATGCTGGACTGCAAAGGCTACAGTAAATGATCTATTTCGTTCTGTCCCGTTGTTCTACAACTTTTATTTTTTTTCTCAAATGTATTATTTTTATTTGGCAGCGTTTTGGCTTTCGACAGCGTAAATGAGATACAGTGACTTTTATAGACAGTGGGGCAAACTTCAGAAGCCTTCCTGAGCAAAGCTGGAGTCGCATTTGGTCTCGTGTTTGCTGGCAGCTCGCCAGTGGCCACAATTACTGCCGGTGCTAGTTGAATGTAAAGCAGTCTGCTAGTTGGGCTGCTGGTGAGATCTGGGGATTTGTTTGTTTTCATTTTTTGGGTGTTTTGTTTTTTGTTTCCTGTCTATTTCCTGCTTTTTGTGCAATCTTATTTCACATAAAAGCATCCTGGGCGCAGCTTTTTTCTTTATCCATCAGAGCAGAGGAAACAGGTTTATTTAGGGTGGGGACCCACAACCCCCATCTGGGTAATGATTGTAACGTCTGCTGAAGTATTAGTAATGGCCCCAAGCCTGCCAGGGACAAGCTAATCAATTATACATTGCAGAATTGACAGCAGCAATAGTGGAAAGTGGAAAAAAATAGTGTGAGGTTTGTTTGTTTTTTATAATAAGGAAGGGACAGGGGAAAACACCAGTAAACTTTGTAAATGGTGTATGGCTCTCACTCAAATCAAGTGTGGCAAGATGATGTACAATCCTGAGTGCTCAGCGGTTAGATGGGGCCGGGAGAAAGCTTGTTAATTTTTCCCCCCTGTGGTTAGAAATAGAAAGTCTGTAGCGACAGGAGGCTCTTATCTCTGCCCCCTCTGTGTTTCAGGCTATCGGCACGTGTACCTGGAAGGCATAGAAGAAGCGTCCATCTTCGTTCATGTAGCTATTAATGACATCTGTGGTAAGGTGAGTGACTGACTGCAGCACCGTAATGCGGCCTGTGTTTGTAAGCGTGCTGGCGGGGTTTGTACCATGCAGGGAGGGGGAGAGCCCAGGGATGGGGCCCAAACTAACCCATTTGTGGAATCCAAGTAACTGCCGCTCTGAGGTTTTTATAGTAGCCTGAGATCTCTTTAAACATCCATGTAGCATAAGCAGGTGGCACAACCAGAGAAGGAACCCCCATTGCACGGCTAATAGATTCCTATCTAGATTCTCCCCTTACAGTGCTTCGGTTCCGGGGCATTCTTCCATCGCTTCCCACACCATATTGCTCCTAATGAAGGGCCAAATCCTGACGCAGTTCTTACTCGCTCCTTACGGCTACTGGACAAAACTCGGCTAGGAACTCTGGTGTAACTCTGAAGTGGCTGCATTGAAATGGCAGAATTCAGCCCATTGTCTGAGTAAGGCCTTCGGGATTTCGCCTAAGTGTCCTGCTATCGATGCAGCCAGATGCGGCAGCACAAACTGGCGAGAGCCTGCTTGTTCAGTGAGCAGGTTCTCTCTCTCCATCACCACACGCCTCTCCAGGCACCGGGCATGTCTTCCAGTCCTTGTGGGGGAATCAGAAGAAAATGGAGCATTTAGACCATATAAAAACGTGTCAGGCTGTCTATACATTACATAATACATCTTCTGGTGGTTTCTGAACACCCCCCACCCTTGTAACACTAATACAAACACTCATGCAAAATGAAGGACTCACCCACCCCTAAAGCATTGTGTAATTGGTGGATAGCTCCTAAAGGCCCAAAAGGGGATGGCAGCACCCTGGTGAGTGATAGCGTTTATAGGCAGGGGTATAGCACTTCAGCACACGTGTGTGCGTATATACGGGTGTGTCTGATACATTTGGTGCTGGTTTGGTGCTCCTAAATTAAAAGTGCAGACCTGAATTGTTGCGGCTTTCTGGCTGCAGAGTTTATGCCATGAATGCTCTGTCACTCTGCCTCCCCGATGCTTTAGCATTTTAAACATAGCGCTGAAGCGTTGCCAGTTTGGAGACTTGATCCCTGCTGCTGGACTTTCATTTCCGGGTCTGCCTTTGACTCTTGCTGCGCTGAGAAGTGCACAAAGTGGCCTCCCTCCTGGTTTGTGGTGCTCAGTGGTCACTCCTCCCCTGCATCCATCTGTCCACTCTTTGGCTTGCTTCACATGCAGTCAAAATAGAACTGCCTTGATGACCTGTTCTGATTTCAGATGAACCGTTCCCAGGTTGACAGTACAGCCTAAGAGCGTCAAGCTTCCCCCATAGCTGAATCGGAGACTCTTTCCCCGGCAGTCCATAGCGCTCAGTTACACATCTCCCGTGTGGCTCCTGCAGTGCTTAGGAAACCGCAACCATAGTTTTGTATAAGGTGATAAAAAGAGGGGCAGCAGGCTGCAATACCGGCATTCGGACAGCAGGAGGCAGTATTGAACAGGCCAGGAATCCTAAGAGTCTCGAGTGTTGCTCATTTTTAGGATAATTTTTTTTAAAGTCATGTGGCTATTTTAGGTGAATTCTAAAATAGGAAAGAGTTGGGCTAACTCCTGGGAAAGCTGCACTTGGGAGCGTAGAAAGAGGGTGGGTTTCTGAAAGGGACGTCCCACGGCTCATTTCAGTTAATGCCTCTACAAGGAGAGGACTGTCAGGCTATTACTGCCCAGGTATCTAAAGCCTGAATCGACAGCTTTCCGGCAGGCACAGCTCCCTCCCTTCTGACTTCGCCGGCAGCCTTGTCTGCAGCATCTGACCCAGGAGGATAGCTCTCAGGAGCAGGAGACCTGAAAGCTTTGGGTGAGAGGGAAGTGGCCGGTGCTGGGTGATGAGCAGTAACGTGGTCAGTGTTAGGTGCTCCAGTCTGTGGTGTGCCTAGCCCATCCACACCTTGGTAATGCCCAGGCCAGTTAATGCCAGTCTCCAGGAACAGGAGAATAAATGGCAGGCTGAGAATAGCTATTACGAGACTGATTCTGCCTGAGCTACCACTGCTAAGTGCCTGAGATCAAAGCAGTTGCACAGGGTGTAAATCAGACCTGATTTAGCCTTCTGTAATTCTGTGGCGAAGTGTGGTTTGGCCCAGGGACCTGCTTTCAGATACATGCTCCCTGGCCTTGATTCAAGCAGCGTTATTCGGTTTTACCCCACAAACCTCTTTTTTTGGATTCTGGGGTCACTGTGTGCAGGTCGATTGCCTCTTTCCTGGCCCCTCTTGCCCCACCACACCTAGACTGGGCGAGCCAGATGGTCAGGGCCCTCAGGACAGCAGCCGGTGCGTGCCTCACTGGGCCACGAAGGTGAAACAAAGCGTCTCAGGACTGCACCCCTTGCACTGACCTGCAATCGCCTAACGGTGCCTCTCTGTTCCACTAGCCCAGCTACTGAGCTGACTGTCCCAGCCAACCCCCCCCGCCCCCGTGTTAACTCTACTGAAGGCAGGTCATGGAAAGAGAAGTGATAGAATTTACCAAAGTGAAACATTTTCTAAATGCAGATTCTCCTCCCTGCCCCAGTCATAATGCTACAAAACAGGTACATTCTTCCCTCCCTCCTGATGCAGTGTGTTCATGCTGCTGCAGCTACTGTGTGCTAGAGGGATCGGGCAATATGGTGCCCTCCGTCAGAGGACACTGTGCGTATGTCTACACTGCAGTTAGACACACACGCGGCTGGCCCATACCCGCTGACTCGGGCTAGGGAGCAGCTTAATTGCAGCGTAGACATTTGAGGTGGGAGGGTCCTAGAGCTTGGCTGCAGCCTGTCTACACCGCAATTAAACAGCCCCTTAGCCTGAGCCCAGGTTAGCTGTCACAGGCCAGCCATAGCTTTTTTAATTGCAGTGTAGACCATAAGGTGTCTGGCTAAGCTGTCCAGGCCCCCTCCTTTCCCCTGCTCCTTTCAGGGACGCTGTTGCTGGGGCCAGTTGTGAGACCTCTGTTGCTTAGGCAGTTCCATAAACATGAGTCTGCTATTTCTGTCCCAGGCTGAGCTAGGAAACCCTGGAAATGTCCAGAGAGTGTCTGTTGGTTCCCGTGAGACCCTATCGTAACTTCGTGGCGCAGATGCTTTGCTGCACTGGAGATGGCCCTGAGCCTCCGAGACTGTCACTCACTGATTGCACAACTCACAGCTCCCCTGCCACTATAAACCTGTTTAATTGTGTTTGCTTTTGGGCCTCTGTTGTTGGAGTGGTTCCCAGAATGCTCCACTTCACGCATATTTGACCTGCCGTCTTTCCCCCCGCATCCTCCTGCCAAAACCCCCCCAGAAAGGAACGGCTGCCACTATCCTTGCTGCAAACCCAAACCAAGGGAGAGAAAAAGGCCAAACGATTACCAGTGCTGCATATCGTAGTACCCAGGTGATTATTTAGCTCCAGAAAACTTTGTCTGTTATAGAAGAAGCAGCTTCTGGAGCTTAAATCCTATACTTCCCAAATACTGCTTAGCACTTAATTACTGCACACTCCACAATGGTGGGGGGTTGTAGGGTGCAGAGGGGGGAGCATCAGGACTTTATCTATGGCCCCAGGTGATTGGAGAGGGGATGTAGAGAGAAGGAATGTTCCATCAAGAGACTACTCCATTTCCGTTACTTCATGAGTTACCTCCCTCTTTATAAGAGTTACTTCATGTCTGGCCCCTTCTACTGCAACAGGCAAAAGGATATGGGCTAGTTTTTGTCCATCTGAAGATGCCAAGAATGAAAACAAACCTGGGGATGAGGGTGGGAGATAAGAAAGAATATACATGTATATTTTGTACATATACCTACGAAGGTGAAAGGCCTTATATACCCTTACTGTTCCAACTTTCCCAGAGCCATCAAAGGCTTTGTCTACATTGGCAAGTGAAAGACAAAACTTCTGTTGTTCAGAGGTGTTAAAAAAATACCCCACTGAAAGACACAAGTTTTGTTGACGACAAGCGCTGGTGTGAACAGTGCTTTGTCAGCCGGAGCGCCCTCCTGCCGACAACGCTAACGCCGCTCATTGGGGGTAGACGTTTTTTGTCGGCAGGAGAGCCAACAAACAGCGGCTACACTATGCACCTTTTAGCAGCATGGCTGTAGTGACACAGCCGTGTCACTAAAAGCTGCGTAGTGTAGACATAGCCTAAGACTCTTCTCTCATTGAGTGAAATCTTGGCTCCCTGGAAGTCAATGGGAGCTTTGTCATTATCCTCCAGAGGGCTGTTTTTAAATGCCCAGACATTCTCAAACTTGGAAGTCAATTAAATTCAGAGGGCACATTTTCAACTCTTTTTTCCTTTCCTTTTTAAAAAAGCTTAAATGTGCTGTTTTCTTTTCTTTCTTTCTTTCTTCTTTTTAAAAAATATGGCCCTAATTAAAGGCAGGGGAAGGTGACAGGAGATTTTAATTAGGGCAGCAAGAAATAACGAAATAAACAATAAAGACTTTGACTCAGTTCAAAGAAGTCCGAGGGGAAGCTAGGGAGCATCTGATGCCAGCTTCTGATGGTTTGAGGGTAAAACTGTTTCAAGTGTTGCCTGGCAACAGCCACAAAGGAAGGGGAAGGAAAGTGCCCACCTGCCCAACCACATGCTGGGATCAGAGGGGATGAAAAGGGGGAGCAATAAGATGAAGGCATTTAATTTCCAGTAAAGTTTCTTTCTAAGGTGCCCACTTCCTTCTAGCCTCTTGCTGCCGGCTGGCATGCGGTCTCTGGTTTTGTATCCCTTTGCCTTATATGATTCTTAGATGCAGAGAAGTTGTCTCTTCAGCCCTGGTCATCTACAGGTCAAGTTCTACGGTCTCTCCTCAGTGCACCCTATTGTGTTACATCAAGAGGAAGATGACCTCCTAAATCATAAAAAGAAGAACAGGAGTACTTGTGGCACCTTAGAGACTAACAAATTTATTAGAGCATAAGCTTTCGTGGACTACAGCCCACTTCTTCGGATGCATATAGAATGGAACATATATTGAGGAGATATACATAACCAG